AAAGGTACAAATAACCCAAGCATCCATCAACGCACAGCTGGATAAACGAAATGTGGTCCATCCATACAAGGACTGTTAGTCACCAACAAAAAGAAATGAAGTGCTGACCATAGTACAACACGGATGAACCTTGAAAACCTTACACTAAATGAAAGAAGCCAGACACAAAGCCTGCATATCGTATGATCCCATTTACATGAAATGTCCAGAATTGGCAAATCCAGAAAGACAGAGAGCAGATTAGTGGCTGCCAGGGCCTGGGGAGCCGGAGCGATTTCTTAATATGGGGTTCCTTTTGGAGTGATGAAAAAGATCTGAGATTTTGACAGTGGTGATGGGTACACAACACTGTGAATGTACCTAATGCTACTGAAGTACACACTTTGAAACAGTTAAAACGGTAAATTTTATATTATGTGTATTTTACAACAATAAAATAAAATCAGACATTGTGTCATGAACTACAGGCCTCGCAAGTTACCATAGCATTTTTCCTCTTCCTTCATCCAGCAGATACCAGGCAGTTTAGCTGGTGGTTTTCTTAACTTTTGCTCCCCTAGTAGAAGAGCCAGCCAGCTGCAGGTGCCCCCGCCCCCAGACACCCTTGCCAGCTATAGTCAAATGGCAGCATGGGGTGGGGTGGGGGGTGGGGAACGTTAACAGGGTGGGGAAGTTTGGGGGGGTGGGTTACAGTGAGGAGCAGCACTCAGTGGGCAAACACTGAGGTCACTGTTTGGATCCTCAAAGCCTGGGCTCAAATATCGACCTTCAGATCTCTATTTGGGGGGTGCAGAGCCCTCTGGCAGGCAACTGGAAAGCAACCAAATTCTAAGATTGCGCTCACAGGCCAGTGTGCGCACTCGATGGTTGCTCTCATCAGAGGCTCCCTGACCCCAGGAGTTTCTCTTTCAGCACTAGACCCTCCTCGGGAATCCACCTGGACACCCGTTGCTGATGAAAACGTATATAAAGCATATAAACATAGACACAAAACATTTCTTCCCTTACTGATTTACTAACATCATCCACTCAACTGAAATTATTCAGCTAGCAAGGTCCTGCCCAGCCCAATAAGCTGTCCCCACTCCCACCCCCAGTGACTTTGTGGTCCACAGGGTAAGGCTGGAAAACACAAGCTCCAGGTAGAGGGCTCAGAGAGCTGGTGGAGGACACAGCACAGGGGACCCGAAGGAGAGGGGGGAGAGCCAGCAAGGGGGCAGTGGTGTTGGGCTGAGCTCAGTGTGAAGGCAGGGAAAGCCCTCTGGGTATTAACACCGCAGGGCTGGGCCCCTGCCCACTGTTTACCTGGTCCCTGCACTTCCTCTAACTCCACTGTCATGGGGAGGCCCCAACCCACTGTTCTTTACTATGTGCCCTTCCCAGGGCTGTGGATCCCACCTCCCTTATCTATTGTTCTTCCTACCCAACTCACACTCGCGGCCCTGCTGTGGAACGCTTGGATTCTGTGGAACGCATTCCGATTTCTGTCTTGGATACCCCTGTTTCCAAGACATCTTTAGGCACAAACCCCCTGACCTTTACTCTCGGGCCCACTGGCAACTGGCCCCTTCACAGTCTCCCACAGGGGCTCAACTTAGGTGAGTTTGCAGTATGCGCCTCTGAGTAAGATTTCTCCGGGCGGGGGAGGGCGGGGCGGTGGAGGAGTATGATTCTTTAAGAGTTTGCAGTGCCCTGGCCTAAGCCTTCTGTGCGTTCCAACTCTGGCCTGCCGGTTGTCTAAGGTAGTGTCCACCCCACCCCCACCACCGGTGGATCCCCAGTTGAGCTTTCCACCAAAAGCTCGGACCGGGCTGCCCCAGGAACACCCCTGGGATCTGGGTAGGGAGGAAAGGTCCTGCATCCGGGCAGCCTCACAGTGGGGGGTTCTGTGCTTCCAGTCCCTCCTGGAGAGCGGCCCGGGCTTCTTGCGCCCTGCAGTGAGCGAAATGGCCACAGGGGGCAGCAGGGGGGCCGAGGCTGGTGGCCAGTGGCTGCTAATGGCTTCTCAACTGCGAGCCCCAAAGCCCTGGACACGCAGGCCCGACGCCCCTGCCCTTTCTTGTTCAGGGGCCAAAACAGTGCCCTGGTGGGAAGGCTGCCACCTGGCTACCCACGCCGCGCGCTGTGGCCCAGGACGGATGGGACCCAGAGCCTCAGGTCCCCACCCTGGGAGCGCGTGGGACCGGGGCTCGCCGGCCAAGGACGGGTGGCAGACACGAGGTACGGGTAGCCGAACTGCCCCTTACCGTGGCGGGCTGGAGGAAATCGGCCGCGCAGCGCGAGGTCTTCCTGGAGGCTGGGCCTGTGCTGAGTGCCTGTGCGATTTCAGCGGCTGGCAGGGGCTGGAGGCACAATGCAGGATCACCGGAGCCACCCGGGGACTGGCAAGCTGTTGCAGGCAGAGCTGGAGCAAGAGGGAGGCTCTGGCCGCTGGCTGCCCGAGGCCAGTTGGAGCCAGGGCCCAGCAGAGCAGGTTCAGACGGGGAGCTAGAGTCTCGGGAGCCTTGAGACCAGTTGGATTTGCTGGGGACCACGTGGTCTGTGCTGCATTCTGGCCTCAGAGTTGGGGGAAGGGACTTGCAGGGAGCTCTCCCAACCGGTAGACTGGGGACTTGCGGAGAAGGCCAAGATTCGCTCATCTCCTGGTCCCCAGCACTTGGTCGACCCTGGCCTGTGGCAAGGGGAAGGGTGTCCTCAGTTCCCTATCAAGAGACAGGATAGCACATAGAGTGGGGTTGTAGTCTGGGGAGAATGCAGACGTCAGAGGCAGAGAGGACAGAAGAGTCCAGAGGCATCTTCTCAGAATTCTCTGCCAGGAGGAGAGGGATGATAGCCCAGGGGTAGCTGTGCTGGGCCTCTTGTTCCCAAGATGACATTGGAGGCCTGTCCTGCCTTGGCCTCTCTCCCCAGGCCATCCCCTCACCTGCTGGGTGCTGGGCAGCCATATTTCCCTCTAAGCCTCAATTTACCATCCTGACCTGGACAGGGCAGGAGCAGATGTTCTCTGAGGACCCTTCCAATGTGACAGGCCAGGGTAGAAGGGTGTGCTGCAGGGACAGAACATGCTGATGGGGACTGAGGGACAAAGGCTTTATTTAATCCTGGCCCTTCCAGGCTCACAGCTCCAGTTCAGAAAAAGAGAAGAGCTTTTGTGAGGGGACAGAGGTCTCCAGTGCCATGGCTCCTCTTTGTCCTGATAAGGCTTCCACTGGGCCCAGGCAGCTCTGGGCTGGAGTCACCTATGAGCACTGAGGCTACAGGATATCAGGACCACTGGTTGATGGAGCCATTCGACTTCATGAGGCTTTGCAGGTATCTATTTTCTGTTTCCTCTTGTCCTTAGTATCAGAATAGAGCACCTGCCCTGGATAGTAACAGACCTACAGAGAAAGAGAAAACCCTCAGGGACCATCCGGGTGGGAACAGCCTTGAGTTCTGTTGCCAGCCCTCACCCTGCACTGACAAGGGCCTGAGACCCAGAAACCATGGTCACATAGAACACTGGTATCAGATCCCGGACAGATTGTCCTCAGCGGCTGATTCTCCTAGAATCCCTGCCTCAGTCTTGCCTCAGCAGAGAAACTGCCAGATGCTGCTGCAAGCCAGGACTGCAAAGACACAACTAGTGGCTGCTCATGAACCAGGATGGTTGGCGAGTGCTGTGGCTTTCTGGCCTGTGTAAGAGACATTAGCAGCTGATTTGCTGGGTGACCAGGCCATCCACCTTTGGGCCTGTTTCTAAATAAATGGCCTGGGGCACTTTGAAGTCTGGAACTACCCAGAAGTGCAGGTTCAGATAGTCAGGGGGAAGGCCTTGTTCCCTCCTATGTTCTGAGGGGTTCCAGGCTCTGCCTCCACGCCCACTTAGTTCCCAGGAGCCTGGGGGCAGAGCAGTGGATAGGGATTTCTACAACAATGGCATCCCCAGGACACTCTGCTGAGGTCCTACACCACATCATTAGCTTTCTAACAGGAATGGTGCCTTTGAAATACTCAAGATAGTACCCCTGGCCAACACCGGTAGCTCGATCTACACAGCATGCAGCAGCAGGTGTCAGTGCCTCAGGGAGTGTATGGTCTCTGTATACGTAGGGTACATTGTGTCTGTGACCAGAAGTGTATCTATGGGAGGGTCTGTGGAAGAGAGGTTTGGGGGCTCCCTGTGTATGACTGTGTGCATGGTTTTTCACGCCTTAGAGGACTGAGCCTGAGCATCTCTTCATTAGTCATTTTTGCATCTTTTTAAAAACTGCCTGCTAGTATCATTTCCTGGGCTTTATTATATTACTTATCTCTTAATTGTAAGACCTTTTTATATATTAAACTTTTATACCACAAAACTTACAAGGGTATTTCCACTTTTTGTGCTTTATCTTTTAACTGTATTTGGAATTATTGAGAACATATGTATTTAATTTTGAAAACTCAGTGTTTTGGTATGTTTGCTTATGGTTGGTTTCTAGCTTTCATATGGTGCTCAGGAAAGGTTTTCTCCATTCCATGAAAATACAAAATGTACTCATCTTTTCTAAGGAAATTTTTATTGTTCATCCTCTTTACAAAAGTGATACATGCTTGTTGTCAAAGGGAAGTAAATTTAGGTAAAGTGAATATCTTGAGTTTTCCTGGCTAAGAACAAGGTTTCTCTCTCTCCCCCATTAATTTTTCCTTTTGTGGCCCTTACTGGAGATTTACTTCTCCAAAGACCTGTGTATAATAATTAAGTTTATCCCAAGAAAATCCACTTTTCTTGATGCTGTTGGGAATGGGATCCGTTCTTTCATTATACTTTCTAATTGGTTGTTGGTATAGAACAAGCTATTCACTTTTGGATGTTAGTTTTTAACCAGTCCTCATTCTTGATTTTAAAAGATGGAAAAGATTTGTTTCCATGTGAAGATGCCCCATTCATTTCCCTCTCAGGGTTTTCTACCAGGGGGAATCTGATGATACTTGATCCATTTCATTAACCTTGAGAGTTTTCTGCCACCTCCTCCTCATTAAGATTTGCCTTCACCATGGACACTTTGATGCTGACTAAGTTGGAAGCTAAACCTGAAGGCTTTCCCACACACATTACACACGAAGGGTTTCTTCCAAGTATGGACAGTCTGATGTATTATACAATCAGAACTATAGCTGAACCCTTTTCCACACTCCACACATCTAAAGGGTTTCTCCCCAGTGTGGCTTCTCTGATGCCGAATTAAATGGGCATTAACATGGAAGGCTTTTCCACACTCCTTACATTGAAAGGGTTTCTCTCCAGTATGGATCCTCTGATGTACAATATAGTCAGAACTACAGCTAAATGCTTTTTCACATTCCATACATTTGAAAGGTTTCTCCCCAGTGTGTATTCTCTGATGCCTAGTTAGTTTCGCATTGATAGTGAAGGCTTTCCCACATTCCTTACATTGGTAAGGCTTTTCTCCAGTATGGATTCGATGATGATCAAGTAGGTTTCTTTTAGAAGTAAAGCATTTCCCACACTCATTACATTCAAAGGGTTTCTCCCCAGTGTGAATCCTCTGATGTTGCATTAGTTTTGCATTAACGTTGAAGGCCTTTCCACACTCATTACACTCATAAGGCTTCTCCCCGGTGTGGATTCTCAGATGCTGCCGCAGCTGAGAGTTACACCTGAAGGCTTTCCCACACTCGTTACAACCATAGGGTTTCTCACCCGTGTGGATTCTCTGGTGCTGGATTAACTTCCCTTTGACACTAAAGGCTTTTCCACATTCAGTACACTCATAGGGTTTCTCACCTGTGTGGATTCTTTGATGCTGAATGAGTTTTGCATTATTACTGAAGGCTTTTCCACACTCCTTACACTGATAAGGCTTCTCCCCAGTGTGGATGCTCTGATGCTGCCTAAGCTGGGAACTGCACCTGAAGCCTTTCCCACACTCATTACATTCATAAGGTTTCTCTCCAGTGTGGATTCTCTGATGTTGAATTAATTTGGCATTAACATTGAAAGCTTTCCCACAGTCCGTGCACTCATAAGGCTTCTCCCCAGTGTGGACTCTCTGATGTGTGATATATGCGGAACTGCAGCTGAAGCCGTTTCCACACTCCTTGCACTGATAGGGCTTCTCCCCTGTATGGATTCTCTGATGCCTGTTCAGACTCCCATTAACGCTGAAGGCTTTCCCACACACCTTACACTGATAGGGCTTCTCCCCGCTGTGGGTGGTCTGATGTGTGATATAATGGGAACTGTAACTGAAGCTTTTCCCACACTCCACACATTTGAAGGGCTTCTCCCCGCTATGAAGTCTTTGATGCCAAATTAATTTTGCATTAACGCTAAAGGCTTTGCCACACTCCTTACACTGATAGGGCTTTCCCCCAGTGTAGCTGTTTTGATGCTGAGAGTTACACCTGAAGGTTTCCACTAATTCTTCACATTTAAAAGTTCTTTCCCCAGAATTAATTAGTTCATGCTGAATAAGTTTTGTATCAAAGCTGAAGCCTTTCTCCAATCTCATATGTTCAAGGGGCTGCTGTCCAGTGGTGACGGTGTGACAATGAAAGAAGTTTGGACTCGGACTAAAGAAACATTCCTCCACGGGGCTGGTGTTGTCTTTCACCGTTGCATCAATGATGCTGCTGTTTTCTTTCTTCATGCTTCCTACTAAATGGACTTCCTGCTGTTTCTCTAGAATACAGGCTTCTGAAAAGTCTGTTTCCTGGAAAAAGTCCCTCTGAAGTTCAAATGATGTATTATGTTTTTCTTTATATATTTCCTTTGTCAAGTTATTGTCAGTCTGGCTCTCAATATCTACTATAAAAAAAAAAAAACAGAAAACAAAATATCATGTAAGAACCATGTTAGAAAAAAAAAAGAATGGTGGTAAAAGTAATAAAGAATCATAGTTAATCAGGATTTCTTGACAGTCACCACACTAGGTCAAAGAATCTAAGGTTCATCCATAAGATGGAATAATATATAGTTGGCAATCAATCAATCAATCAATCCATATATGCTGACCTGAAAAGATGTCCAAGATACACTGTTAAATGGAAAAACAAGTTGAGAAACGGATATAAATTAGATTCCATTTCTATAAAGGAAAATAAAACGGGATAATAAATACATATAGATTTGTATATGTATGCCTAGAAAACTACTGGAAGAATACACAAGAAACCGAGCAATCTGGCACAGGAAGTTTCAGCGACTTGTTTCTCCAGTGTGCTTTATACACTCTGTACAGTTTTGAGCATGAATGATTTAAGATGATGTTCCAGTAACATAAAAGTTAAAAGTGACAGCAGTAGAACAAAATCCTAGGTCTTCTCCACCAGATGAGCATTCTTTTTATCACACCACACTTTACTACACGCTGCAGTTTTTTTCTCAGCTGTCCATGCTTAATAAGAATGGAAACTACTTACAAAGGAAAAGGCATAGGATCCAACAACTTGTAGCAACGCTGAGGGTGGCAAGTGTTTGCAGCACCAGGAAGTGAAAGAGAAATAATCTTATTTCTTTTCTTGGAACTTAAACTCTAGGCTCTCTAAAATTCCTCCTTCACCTTCTGCTTTCTCTGCTTACAAAGGCAATCTTTAGGGGCATCTGGGTGGTTCAGTCAGTTAAGCGTCCAGCTCTTGATTTTGGCTCAAGTCATGATCTCACGCTCAGCACAGAGCCTGCTTGGGATTCTCTCTCCCTCTCTTTCTGCCCCTCCCCACTTTGCATGCACATGTGCACTCCCTCTCTCTAAAATAAACATTAAAAAAAAAAAAAGACAATCTTTTGGCCCGCTTTATCCCTTTGATCCATCTCTCCCCACCCCTCCAGAACACTGCTGCATTCTCCTGGTCTTTCCTTCTACTTCCTCCCTCAATCCTGAAAGTGGTCAGTCCCTAACGTTCTTTTTAGAATTCCTACAGTTCCAATGGAGCCAGGATCTGTCTTTGCTCCCAAATCTCTTAAAATTGGCCTCAAAATGCCTGTATTTTTTCATCTCCCATCTCTCCTCAACCACATGTAATAAGCCCACTTCCCCAGTATTTCTCCCTCAAAAGATCCAAATGACCTAGATTTCCCTAGCAAGCATTTTCAAAATACTGTTGGTCTTTTACCAATTATAAAACTAATATTCATCTCTAATATCAGAAACATGCAAAGAAAAAAATTCAAATTACCTGAAATACAACCACCTAACAACAACTACAGCTAATCTTCTGATGTATTTCCTCCCTCAACCATTTTCCTTCCAATCATTCTTCTAAAAACATTTTTTCAAAAATGGAAATATTTTTCTTTCCTAACATTAATAAGGATAATTTTCCAGTATCTTTAGATATTCTGTAAAAATATTTTAAAGGGGCGCCTGGGTGGCTCAGTCGGTTAAGCGTCTGACTTCGGCTCAGGTCATGATCTCACAGCTCGTGTGTTCGAGCCCCGCGTCGGGCTCTGTGCTGACAGCTCAGACCCTGGAGCCTGTTTCAGATTCTGTGTCTCCCTCTCTCTCTCTGACCCTCCCCTGTTCATGCTCTGCCTCTCTCTGTCCCAAAAGTAAATAAACGTTAAAAAAAAAAAAAAATTAAAAAAAAATTTAAAAAAAAATTTTTAAAATGGCTAAATAAGCATTCCATCCTAAAGAGGCATGTTAATTTAATCAATTATCTCTATCCTGATTATTCAGGTTATTTCCAACATTTTATTATATAAAATTATGATGAACTTCCATGCATGTACATCTTTGTTTATATCCCTGATTATTATCAGGACACCCTAGGAGGGAATTTCCAGGCTATCAAGGACAAACTTTTAAAAGGCTTTTGATATGTATCGCTAAAGTACTTTCTAGAAAGACTACTGATTCTCATTCACCTCCAGAAGTCTATTCCAGTTTGGTGTATTCTCTCCATCCCTTACTATAATTGTTCTCAGTATGAGCGAGGAAAACTGAGGGGACTCCATGAAAAACTACTTGCTTCTGTTCCTGCTTCTATTCTTTCTAGGATCTGCACTTTGGCCACGTACATGCCTTATGGAACAAATGATGTATGTCCTTCCTGTGTGAGTTAGAAGTTAATGATTTTTTACACTCTTCCAGCACAGGTGGTAACATCTATGGAATGACTAAGCAAGGCTGTCATGTATGTTTTCCAGACCACTGACTCTAGACACCTGATGCCAAAACCCCCTGGCAGCAGGGAATAAGTGAATTATGGAGGACACCCGGACACTTGTCTTTGTTCTGACCAGTTCCTGGGTGCCATGTACATTCTGAATAGAAACCCCAGACCCTGAGCAAAGGAGAGACTCACTCTCCTTTCTTTTCTCAGTCTCCCAGACACTCATCTGCTATACTCTATCACTTATGCTATTCAGTAAACTCTGCTTTCACTTTATCCTGGCTCGCAACTTGATTTCTATCCTGCTCAAAGCCAAGGACCATCTTTTCTGGCCCTGCAGACCCTCTCTGGGTCTTCAGACCCACCCTGCCTATGTCAAGTATGTTAGGTGAAACATCTGTTTTAATTTCTTTTTCATTGCTTTCTATTGAGGGTGAAGATTTTTCATTGATTTAAATTTGTACTTCTTATGCGGATCAAACATTTATATTTTTTGCCAATTTTTCTATACTAGTGACCTTCTATTTGCCAATCCTACAGTGTGACAGATGCTACCGGTTTCTTAACCAGTATCCATTCTCCCTTTCTTCCTTACTAGCACAGCCTCCAATGTGTTTGAGGTAGCAGTAAAAACTACAGCTAAAAACTATTTTCTGCCCTCTCCTGCAGTAGGGGGACCAGAAGACACAGTTGTAGCAAATGAGATATAAACAGATGTCACTATGTGGGCCTTCTGAAGAAGCTTTTTAACAGAGAATCAACTCGGCTGACATGGGCCTTGTGCCCTAGGCCTTCCCCTTCTGTCTACCTAAAAAGCCATCTGATTCCTCACTCCAATTAACAAACACAAACTAATTGGATTGATGTTCCCATTCTCAGCTAAGATCACGATGGGTTATTCAAAAACTTTAAAGACTTCAGGATTGTCTGTTGCCTATGGAATGAAATCCAGACTCCTTTGAGGAGATCCACGATTATATGGAGCTTCCTCCATATTATATGCAATGCGCTTTAAACTCTTGATTTTGCAAAACATGTCTTCCTTTGTCAGGAATCATCTGGTTGAATGACTACAAGGAACAAAAATCCACTGAATCTTTAAAGGATTCATGGGACACTTGAGTGGCTTAATCAGTTAAGTGTCTAACTTCAGCTCAGGTCATAATCTCGTGGCCCATGAGTTCAAGCCCCACATGGGGCTCTGTGCTGACAGCTCGAGCCTGGAGCCTGCTTCAGGATTCTGTGTCTCCCTCTCTCTGCCCCTCCCCCACTCATGCTCTGTCTCTCCCTCTCTCTAAAATAAACAAACATTACAAAAAAGTTTTTTTAAGTAAATAAATAAGAGGATTCGTTGAAAGGACACAAGAGAATCTTATGGACCACAAACGCAGAGAAGTAAATAGGAAATCACAAGAAATGGGAAATCGTCTGGCAACTACTCTGTTTAAGCCAATGAGAAACTTGCTACTTCAAGTAAGATCTGGGAAACAGATACATTGGCAGAACCTGAGAATTAACAGAAATGTAGACTCTTGGCCCCATGCCAGACTTACTAAATGACAATATGCATATTTACAACAAGATACCCAGAGGTGATTCATTTGCACATCATTTGAGAAGCACTGAACTGAGAGCACTTCCTTCCACCTTATTTCCCACAGCTTAAGCTGTCTTCTCCACACACACAAAAAAATAATAATAAAAACTAATATTTCACTGAGCACACACTGTAAGTTACACATTTAATATGTATTATCTCATGTAATCCTCAACCCACAAGACTAGCACTGTTCTCTCATTTTATTATTCCATTTTCAGGGATAAAAACATTGAATCTTAGAGAACTCAAATAACTGACCTACTCAAAGTCACAACTAGGAAATCCTGTAACTAGGAATAGCAGTTGGGATTGAACCTCAGGGAAGTCTACTCCAAAGACTGTACTTTTAACCACCAGGCTATTCTGCCTTTCTGTACAAAAAGACTGTTAATTCTCCATCCATCACATTAAGTGTACAATGTTTAGAAAGTAGCAAGGACCCCAAAATACTGAATCCATTCATTTCATCTGAGAAAGGCAGAATTCCAAAATTAGAACTGAAAAGAATTAGAATAAGGCATTTGAAAAAAAGATCTGTTCTTGGAATTACAAAGAAACAGCAAACTGCAAAAATAATCAGGTCTCAACTGTACATATCTCTATAAATCATCAACATTATTTAAATTTTATTTTCTACAGCTGGCTCATAAATGTGGCATGCTTATATGTTGCTAACGTTGGTTTTCTTCCTAAAGAGTTTAACTCCCCCATAAAAGGCAGCTGTGTGTCCCTTACCAGTCCAGACACCCTGGGAGCCTATTTCTGTTCCAGCCACCAGTGGAGATGGGTCCCCCAGCTCACCTGCTCCCTCCAGTTGCAATATCACAGCAGGTTTGAGAAGCGAAAATCCTGTTTAGGGGGAAAGAAAGAGGAGAGAGAGGTGAATAATCTCCCAGAAATGAGTTCTTAAGCCTCTTCTCCAACTGTCTTGGCAATGGGAAGGGAAAATAAGAGCTGTAGGGGATCCCATGCCTAAAGACGACAGGAAAGGGGGGAATGGCTTGGAAAGTGTATGTGTGTATGTTGCGGGGGGGGTGGGGGGGGAGTGCCTGAGAAGGTGTGGGAGGAGTTGGGAATGGCCTGGACTGTGAGCCCGAAAGACCAAGATATGCAGGTCAGATGAGGGTGAATGTGAAGATAATGCTGTGGAACAGTAAGTTTCTTTTTCCCACACTGTATCCAAACGACAACTTCTAGAGGATGGATAAAGAGTGCACACTAGTCCCAGCAAAATCCTATATTGGCCCAATAAAGGCTTGGGATTCACCCTTTCCAGCAACCCCTAACTCAAGGGGGATTAGGAATCTCAACCCCTGGGGTTCCGACTCAGTAAAGGATTTCTACAGACCCCACCTGCAACCTGTCAGGGGTCAATAAGCCAGGAAACCCCAACTGGCAGAGTCTGGGTCCCAGGGGGAGAGAGGCCTTACCCAGGGAGGCCACATTTCCATAATTCTCCAGCATCACATCCCTGTACAGGGCCCTCTGTGCAGGGGACAGGCCATTCCATTCCGTCTGAGTGAAGTACACAGCCACGTCCTCGAAGGTCACCGACTTCTGAAACAACAGGTTCCTGCTGCCCTAGGGCCAGTTCCATGGCTCAGGCCCTAGGTGAGGGGCAGAGGGCAGTATAAGGGCTTGGGGAGGGAGCTTGTGAAGAGCACAAAATTAATAAAAAAGTGAAAGGTTTGAGAAAAAGCACCTGGAAAGTAAACCATGGAGAATTATCTGACCTTTCTCATGGCAGGGAAACCTCATGCCATATTTTACATTTATATCCTAAGTTGGGATGACAGAAAAAAATTCCCATAATCAAGTTCCCCAAAAGCAACTCCATTCTTTCTGCTAACCATGTCTTCAGGGGCAGATACGGCTCAGGACTTGCCCACCAGCATGCCCACCCTGATCCCTACCCCCA